AAAAAAACAAGGAACACGATAATTACTTGGTTTCCATTGATTTAGAGCATATTGAATGCATTAACAGTTGGATTGAAATTAATAAATTAGTTGGGAAACTTCAGAAGTCACAATGTGATGCTCCGTAATTGTGCTTTGATCAGTCTTGAAGAAGGTCCCATATTCAATATTCAAAACGTCTACGGCTGAAACTATTACACTTTGCCATATAAAGATACGACACTTCAGACGTCCATCACTTATTGACAGAAAACAATGTCAATAAACAACTTCTGACTACTGAAATGAAAATCGTACTTATATGGATCGTAGCTGCTTCTACCATAGGATGAATCATAGCTGCTTGCTCCACCTCAAAAGATGCTATCTTGAGCTTATCAAATTTCAAAAAATCACAAGGGAGAAAAGTCAATTATTGATATACTAACGACATACCATACGAAGATCTTCGGTATCCATAACTACCTCTACCCCTGGAGTCACGATGTTTCATAGCCAATTCGCTGAAATACGATTTCTTCTGAGTACACCACCCACAGATATGCAAAGTACATAACAACGCACTCCATCATTTCTCGTTTTAACATCGTTCCGCGCAACTCTGCCTCAAATCGGTGATCGTATGGCATCCCAGCCTCAAAGTTGCGATCGAAAGGACCGTAACGATCGCCACGCCCTGGCAAAGAAATGATAATTGAGAAGAGACCAGATATGGAAAATAACATCCCAAACCTCTGTAAAAACCTCTTCCAACACGCGCAATGCCTCGGATCGCACCACGATAGGCACTTCCCCGAAATGTTCCACGTGGTTTTTTGCTTGAGAGAGGAGTTCTTATGCTATCGGGGGCAGGACGTTTTGCTGCAAGAACTCATTTCTAAGACAAACAATTTGAAAAGATGGATGAGCTTTAGGAAAGATGCTTACATCCTCTTCTAGAGTTATCCGTCGTAGATCTCCTTTTATCCCAACGAGTAATGAGCGATCCAAAGTGAGGTTCAACTGAGAAAAATCACGAGTAAAGCTGATGAAACCATAACTGATAAGCGATTTTAAGATGTGGTAGAG